CCCCCCCCGCCAAAGCGCTCACAGCGGCCTTCTCTTTGCCTCTCTGGGGCAGTTGGCAGCTAGAACCCGGCAGCCCCCCCCCCCCCAGTCCCCTTGCCGGCTGCCCGGGGCGCCCCCGCGGGGGGGGGGGGGGAGAGCTTTGATTCCAGGGAGGCAGAAAGGACTCTGCCCCCCTCCCTTGGCACCGGGGGCAGGAACAAGAGGCCACGATTCCCGTTGGGTGCACAGTCATGGGGGGTGGCGGTGCGTGTGTCTAAGGGGAAGGGGGTGGACTGTGGCGAGCCCGCCCCCAGGGGGGGGGACAGCGGAGAGCCGAGCCCTCTCAATGCCCTCCTTCCCCGACGGCGGCGGGGGTGGGGGTGGGGGTTCCTGTGCGTCCCCGCCCGCAGGGAGAACGGCTGCGGAGGCGCAGCAGCGCACACGTCCCTGCGGGTATAAAGAGAGGCCGCTGCCCACTGGCCCCCCCAGTCTCTTGGCCGCCGCTCGTCGGGGCACCCGCACACCTTCCTTCCCTTCTCCCTCTTTCCCCTCCCCACCCTACCCCAAAAACTCCCCGGGGAAGAGTTTCCCTAGGCGCTGCCTCCAGCTGTTCTCCCTCCCGCAGGCCCGCGAAGGTGATGGATTATTCCTACGACGAGGATCTGGACGAGCTGTGCCCCGTTTGCGGGGACAAAGTGTCGGGCTACCACTACGGGCTTCTGACCTGCGAAAGTTGCAAGGTAGGTGCTGCTGGGATGGGGGGGGGCGCGGACAGAGGAAGCTGGCGAGGCAACCCCGGGGTGCTGCGGAGAAGCAGAGCGACCGGCCGCCGGCCCGGCTAATGCATCTCCGGGGAGAGGACGGCCCCCCAATACGCCGCCGGAATTATCATAATTAATGTTGCCAACGAAAACGGGGAGGAGGGTCATGGATGATCCGGCAGCGGGCGGCGGCGGCGCGCCCCACAAACAGACCCGCCTTCGGGGCTCTTGGCGTGCTCCGGGACGCCGGAGGGGAAGACGGTTTGGGGGTCTCCAGCCCCCCTAACGGGAGAGAGAAAGGTTTGGCGAGGTAAGGAAGCTCGGGATCCAGCCGCAGCTCCAATCCAACTGGGATCTGGTCAGGTTTTTCCTTTTGGTGGCAAAGAATAACCATCCCAATCGCCACCATTATAATTGGTGTTAATAATCGTTTTTCGATCCTTGCAGGCTTCGGGTTTTTTTTAAAAAAAATTTTTTGTCGCCTTGGCTGTTGCGATTCTTGGAAGGAGGAAGGGGGGCTGCAGCCCTGAGCAGCCAAAACCTGCGCCCCCCTCCCCAAAAAAATCTCGGTAGGTTTTTTTTTAAAAAGAACAGAGGTTTTAACAGCTGGGTGGAAGCGCGATCGGCTCTACACGGAATCCTGAAGGATGCGTTTCATGGCGTTTCCTGTGCCTTGGGCGTTGCGCGGAGTCAGCCTTCCGCGATCCTTCGCGCTGCAGGATAGCGCGCCAACCCTGAAAACCCGTGGATTCGGTTCAGAATTCCGTTCCGTGGAAACGAATCGGGCGAAGGGCGGTTGAAGCGCCCATCGGATTCCGGCTCTTCTCTTCTTGGGTTTTTATTTTATTTTTTATTGGGTTTTTATTTTTTTAATTGGGTTTTTATTTCTTTATTGGGGTTTTACTTTTTATTTTTGAAACCGGGCGCCCATCCCTCCACGCGCCCACCCGCGGCGGGAAAAAAAAACCCCGCTCCGTCGCTTTGGAAACCCAGATGTTAAAAATGGGGGCGAGGGCTTTCTCCCCGCCCCCCCGTTAAAAAGTAGCCGCTAATTCGGCGTCACTCCGGCCTTCTTTTCCTTAATGCCGCCGCTTGCTTGGTTCCGAAAAATATCCTGGGAAGAGCCGAGAGAGCGAGAACGAGTCGAAAGTCGAAGGGTTGAAAAAGAAACCGAAGGGATGAAGGGGAAAAATGAAAGAGAGAGGGAAAGAGAAATACAGAGAGAAAGAGAGAAAGAGAGAAAGGGAGAGATACAGAGAGAGAGAGATACAGAGAGGAGAGGGAGATACACACAGAGAGAGATACAGATATATACATATATACATACATACATACATAGAGAGAGAGAGAGAGAGAGATACAGAGATACAGAGATACAGAGAGAGAGAGAGAGAGAAAGAGAGAAAGAAAGAGAGAAACAGGGAGAGAAAGAGAGGGGAAAGAGATTTGGGAAGAAACGAAGGGAGAATCTGTTAAAATTAAACTCCATCGGCAGCTGGAAGCGAACGGAATTCAAAGAACGTAGAAGGGATGGTGCCAGCTTTTTCTCCTTTATAAAATATTTTTTTGGGGGAGGGGACAATTAAACCACGCGGAGTTTGGTTTCGCCCACCCAGGGCCCCGGATTTGAGGGAGGGAAGTTGACATTTTTCTAAATATTTGAAGATGGGAAAATAAACGAGCGAAATGGCGCCCCTGGTTTAAAAACGAAAGCGGGCCGAAGGTGGGCAGGGGGTTCCTTTCTGGGCTCCCGCGGCGCCCCCCGTCCAACGGAGAGTCGCGGGCCGGCCGGTTTACGGGAGCGCGGCGGTCCGAGGACCGAACTGGGGCGCTGGGGGATGGGTGGGTGGGCTCCTTTGGGTTATTTCAGGGGGAGACGAGTTTTGATTTGGAGGCAGGGGGGCGAATGCGGAAAAAAATCTTCACCTTTCTAGTTTAATCCTAATTGGGGGGGGGAGAAGAAATAGCTGCGTCCTTCTCTCAAGCCACTTTCCCAAACACCCCCCTACCCCCCTTTTTTTAAACACGGGAACTGCCCCCTTAAAACGGCGCCTCTAACCAAAGGGCACCTTCATTTTAAGATTTACGCGTGGGGCCCTTACAGAAATAGGTTATTTTTCTTCTCCCTCTGGATATTTTCCTGTGATTTCTCCAGCCGGGAGTGGCGTGAAAATGGTTCACCCGGGTCGGGAAAAGACCCTCGCCCTTTGCCTTGGATTTGAGGGGTGGGCGAGGGACAGGAGGGAGAAAGAATGAGGGGTGGTTTTTTTTGCAATGCATAAGAAATCTAGAGGTGGGGTCGTATTAAAATCCTGTTTTATTTATTTACTAACAGGAAATTTACTATTTGTTTGTTTGTTTGTTTGTTTACTTAGGATTGATCCTGTTAGTATCAATCAATTTATTATTCATATATAGACTCTCGTTTCGAGTCCCATTTGACCAAGGACCCTCGCACTGATCGCTTTTACATTATTTTAAAACAGCTCTAATTATTAACAAACCATTTAACGATTCCCGCCTCCTGCTCCACCGTTCCTTCCGCTTAGGTTAGGACGAAGCCCATTTCGCGGATGGACAACTGAGGCCAGAGGTGCAGAAAAATGAAAGGCAGGGAGCGGGCGACCCTCGTCGTCCCTCGGGGGAGGGGGCACTTGCGTAGCTACTCTTCCAGGTTAAACTACCTCGCAAGCCTGGGGGAGGAGGAGAACATGAGGAGCGTAGGTCAGAGTGGCTTAAATAATTTCTATTTAAAAAAATGTCCTATGTTAAATTGTGTGAATTTTTGGAGCCTAAAAATGGGGGGACACTTTTTTTTTGAGCCAAAGGTTTACGGTTCTTCGCCAGGAGGAATTGTTACCTGGAGGCGCGACTCAGCGGCCGGCCGTGGATGTATTGGACACGCTAGCAAACTTTCTAAAATAATGTGTTTTTTTTAAATTTTTTATTTTATATGACGTTCACACGAATACAAGATCAACGCGAAAGTGATGGCGCGCAGAACCAATTCGGATGGGGAACAGTTTGTTTTAGGGGTGAATCCCATTCCACAGTGGATGGAATCGGGATGCAGACTCCCTCTGGACCCCAGGGCTGTCTTAACGCGTGGGCTTGAAGGGCATTTGCCCGTGGGTCCCAGGAGCATAGAGGCCCCATACCAACACCAATTTTGTTGGCAGTGCCAATAAAATAAATACGTTTAATTTTATCGACCATTTACAATTTTTATCCCCGTGAGTAATTGTGGTAGGGGCCCCAGGACGCTGCTTTGCCGGTGGCGGACTGCGGGGGGCATAATGCTGTTAAGACGACCCTGCCTGGAGCCTCAGCTGCTGACCCAGCTCCCAGAATCCTCCAACCCGGGACAGGCCAGGGGGAATTCTGGGGTCGGAGTAACACGCGCGCCTAGGATCGTTTTCCGCGCTCCCTTTCCTCTTCCCTTTGCGCCCCTCTCTCACGCCCCTCTCTCCCCTCGCCCAGGGCTTCTTCAAGAGGACGGTGCAGAATAATAAACACTACACGTGTACCGAGAGCCAGAACTGCAAGATCGACAAGACGCAGCGGAAAAGGTGCCCGTACTGCCGTTTTCAGAAGTGCCTGGCCGTCGGGATGCGGCTGGAAGGTGAGCTTTCTGGGTATGGCTTGGGGGTGGGGTGGGGGGGCTCTTTGCCCGTCGGAAGGGCCTTTGTTGGAGAGCCGAAGGAAAGAGGGAGAAGCCCCCCTGGTTTTTCCCCCCGCTGGGGAGGGGGATTCCCGCCCCTCTTCTTCCCAGGGTGGACGAGGGCAGCCACAGCTGCTCCGGCGGGAGAGCGAAGCGGCCTTGGGAAGCAGAGAAAACGAAAGTGCTTTCTGCGGGCCGGGAAAAAAAACGAGAGTTTAGAGGGAGGGGGGGAGTAAGGCAGGGAATCTGGCCGGGCCTCCTCCCCTGCATTCCCACCAGGGTCCCCCCAAATCTTTGGGGATGGGACGGAGGCGAGGGGAGGGGGGCACTCTGCCCATGTTTGAAGACAACGGTTGCAAAAGCGCCCATCAAAAGTTGCCCGAGAGAGACGTTGTGTATGTCTCCCCCCCGCCTCCTCCCCCCGTAACGAACAGCTTGCTTGGCAAGGGGGCTCGAGGAACGCCCGACCCCACTCCTTCTCCCTCCCTCTCTCCCTCTCTTTAAAAGGAGAAGGCGGTAAGAAAAGGAATTCAATTTCCCCACGCCCATCGCGGGACGCCCCAAGCCTTTCGACGAATTCGGGGTTGAAACCCCGCCTCTTTTCTGCCTTGAGAGCCCCCTCCCCGGGACGCGCCAATAAAGCGGGACAGCTTTTATTTTTTGGCGTGGGCCTGTTCCCTCTGCCCCCACCCCCCGCGATCGCAAACCCGTTCAGCCCACTTTGGAGACCGACCCAAGGCAGCTAGGAAGCCTTGAATGGGGAGGGTTGGGCGGGGGGGAACCCCACGATCCGGAGCAGCTCAGGGAAGCGCCTCGTCGTGTGAACGCGAGCGTTGGAAGTGGGTCGGAGTCAGGGCTGAGGTGCTGTCCCGGAGGGGAGGAAGGGAGCGAGGTGACCTCCCCAGAACGGTTGCCTTGGCTCGCTAGAGCAGGGCAGGCGCTCAATTTTCGTCCTTCACCTACGCGGGGGAGGGGACGTGGTGGAGGGGAAGGGGCGGGCAGCGAAAACTTTGGCCGAGGCTCTTCGTCCGGCCGCCGCGCTCTCCCCCCGTTTTTCCTTCCTCCCCTGCCTCGCTGTGCTTGGAGGAACTGGGGAAGGGAAGCTCCACTTTAAATAGACGGGGTGGAGGGGGGGCGCTCCCTTGCCTTTCCTCAGGCTCTCTCTCTCCCCTCCGCTCCACCCCCACCGCCCCTCCGCTAAGATCTTAGAATCTTAGACTAGAGCTGGAAAGGGACCTTGGAGGTCTTTTAGTCCAGCCCCCTCCTCAACCAGGAGACCCTACACCATTTCAGGAAAGAAGGAAGGAAGGAAGGAAGGAAGGAAGGAAGGAAGGAAGGAAGGAAGGAAGGAACCTTGGAGGTCTTCTAGTCCAGCCCCATGCTCAAGCAGGAGAATCTATACCATTTCAGGAAGGAAGGAAGGAANGTTCTACCGAACTGGTGTGAACCGGTAGGAACCCCCACCTCTGACTATGACCTTCTCATCATCCTACTGATCTTCTTCTCAGGCCTTCTCCATACCCCACTAAGTCTCAACACGACCTACCATCCTTGATTTGGCTCGGTGTCTCATTCCCACTCACCCCCTTGGCAAGTGTCATCGCTCCACCCTTTGAACCTCAGTCAAAACATCTGGATGCCTTTAAAAAAAAATATTTTCAAACATACAAATACAAAAAAAAAAACTTAAGCATAGGCTACATTTACACAATACATTGGAACATTGTGTTCCTTCTCATAGCAGTTTCAAATCGGCACAATTCTCTTTATGCTATTTCCCCTTCTAATATGTTTCGTTTTGAGTTTCACCGTTTTTAACCCTCTTATTTTACTTATCTATCTGATATATCGGGTGATTACCTCTGATAAGTTGAATTTATCTTGAGTATAAACACACACACACACACACGCACACACACACACACAGGTTAATGAAAGAATCTAATCTAAGTCAAAAAGTAGAAATTCAGGAGGATTATCATATATATATATAATCCTCCTGAACTTCTACTTTTTGACATTATGACATTCTTTAATTAACCTTTGTTTCTTTTCTCCAACCACCTATACCATTTTTCCCATATCTGGTAATATTCTGTCTCTTCCTTTCCCAGAATTTCTTTTGTTAACTTGTCCATTTTGGCACAGTCCAGAACCTTTCTTATTATTCCGACTTCGTTTGGTATCAGTTTATTTTTCCATTACTGAACGAAAGCAATCCATGCCCCCCCCCCGCCCACCGTAATTATGTGTAGAATTAAATACACATCTCGATGCCTTTTGGGGGTGGGCCTCCTGGCCCCACATCAGGGGACAAATTTTGCTAGGGCACAGCATCCTTGGCCCCTTCTCATTGAAATTATCCTTTGAATCTGCAAGTTCCACAAGAGAACGTTTTGCAAAGAGCCGTCATTTGTAAACAAAAAGGCCTTTTCTTTTCAATAGTCTTCAATATCTTCATAAACAACTTAGATGAGGGAATAGAAGGGGAATTCCCCAAATTTGCAGGTGATACTAAGCTGGCAGGAATAGCCAACACCAAAATGATAAGCTCAAGGTCCTGATGGATCTTGACAGATTTGAACCCTGGGCCCTATCTAACAAAATGAAATTCAAGGGAGAAAAAAGTCAAGTCCTACCCTTAGGCAAAAAAATCCCAAAGGACACATATAAACTGGGTGAAACCAGGTTTAATAGCACTGACTCTGAGAGGGATCTTGGAGTCTTAGTGGACAACCAGCTAAATAGGAGCCAGTTGTGTGCGGAGGCAGCCAAAAAAGCCAACGCAATCCTAAGCTCTATTAACAGAGGGATACAACGAAGATCAAGAGAGGTTCTAATACCACTCTATAAAGCCTTAGTAAGGCCACACCACAGTCCTGCACCCAGTTTTGGTCACCACACTATAAAATAGAGATTGAGATTCTATAAAGAGTGCAGAGAAGAGCAACCAGGATGATGAGGGGACTGGAGGCTAAAACATACGATGAACGGTTGCAGGAACTGGGCCAGGCTAGTCTAGGGAAGAGAAGGACCAGGAGAGACATGAGAGCAGTCTCCCAATATTTGAGGGGCTGCCACAGAGAGGAGGGGGTCAAGCTATTGTCCAAAGCACCCGAAGGCCAGACAAGGAATAATGGATGGAAATTGACCAAGGAGAGATTTGACATGGAAATAAGGAGGAATTTTCTGACAGTGAGAACAATCAACCCATGGAACTGAAGTTTTGGGTGTAGGGTCTTCTGCTTGGGTGTGGGGGTTGGATTAGATGATCTACAAGGCCCCTTCCAACTCTGTTAATTTGTAAAGGACATTGAGACTCTAGAAAGAGGGCAGAGCAACCAAGATGATGAAGGGACCGGAGGCCCAAGCATATGAAGAACAGTTGCAGGAGCTGGGCATGGCTGGTCTAGAGAAGAGAAGGACCAGGGGAGACAGGATAGCAGTCTTCCAATATTTGAGAGGCTGCCCCAGCGAGGAGGGGATCAAACTATTCTCCAAGGCACTTGAAGGCCAGACAAGGAATAATGGATGTAAACTGATCCAGGAGAGATTCAACCTGGAAATAAGGAGGAACTTTCTAACAGTGAGAACAATCAACCAAAGGAACAGAAGTTGTGGGAGCTTCATCACTTGATATTTCAAGAAGAGAGTGGACTGACATCTGTCAGAAATGGTGTAGGCTGTGATAGCGGATCTATGGCAGACATGCGAGAGGTGGCACACAGAGCCCTCTCTGTGGGAATATGTGCTGTTGCCAGCTGCTCTTCTGGTCTCCAGTGCGTCCATGCGCTCCCGTCAACTAGTTTTTGCGGGTGCCGGAGTGCCAGAAAAACAGCCAAAAAACAGTTTTCAGGCCGTCTTTGAGCTGGTTTTGGCTTGAAAAAAACTGAAAATCGGCCTGAAAATGACCCCAAAATGCCCCCAAAAACAGGCACGAGTGTGCCAGCCAGCTGATGTTTGGGTTTCTGGCACTCTGGCATTCTGGCATTCTGGCACTCCGGCACACGAACATGCATGCATGCGCATTCCGGTTTGGGCACTCGCTGCCCAAAAGGTTCGCCATCCCTAGTTTCTCCTGTTTGAGTGGGGGGTTGAACTAGATGACCCATAAGGTCCCTTCCAACGCTGTTATTTTGTTTTCTTTTAGGGGGTGGGTGTTTCATCGATGCCTCGCAACTGCCTTTGCACAGGGAAGGATTTGTGTGTGTGTGTGTGTGTTTAAAAACAAGGCAGGTTGAAGTCAAACAACACACACACACACACACACAAAAAGCAGCTGGTAAGAGCCAAAATGGACTCCCCTGGCATCTCTGAAGGCCTCTGCGGTGGGATAATCAGGATGGGATAAAACGTCCATCTCTTGACGGGGTGAAGCCGAAAAGAAAAATGGTTCAGGCCAGCAGGACCACAGCAATAAATCCACCCCGTCCCTCCTTCCCTCAATTTTTTTTAATGTTCTCTGCCCCTCCCTCAACCATCTATTAACAAGTTTCTTTCTTGTGTTGCCTTATCTATGGCAAAGGCCCTCTTTATCTTCTCGGCTGCCACATTCTGATGCTGGTTTATGAACGGTGTTTTTGTATCTTATTTTTGTTTCTTCTTCTTTCTGGGGTTATATTTTCCCTCCCTCCCTTTCTTATCCCACCCCCCCCTTCTGTTGCTAGCACCGTCACGTGGCTGGGGAGGAAGCCAATGAAGCAAGAATTTGAAATCTACCGTGGTCACCATTGGGAGGCGGGGACTGGACCAGTGTCCGGCAAAAAAAAGACTGCGGCTGCCAGGGCAAGCGAGGATCCCACGGTTCTACCTGGCAGTCAGTCCCGCCGTCGGTGGCGAAAAGTGGGCTCCATGTGGCTCCATCCGGATTAAGACCCGAGTCCAAAGCTTTGGCCTCCAGCCACTTTCACTCTTGGGAAAACTTCAACGCTGAAGGAGAAGCTGGTGGAGTCATAAGCGGAGAGAGAGAAAGAGAGAGAAAAAACGAGGGCTACTTTCCAAGTAAGTGATTGATAACAGCCTACTGCCAAGGTCATCGCTGCAATTTTGCTTTTTATCTACTTCGGTGATAATCTGTGGTCTCTGGCTAAAGATGAGGTGGGACAGGAGCAGTGCCAATCTCTCTGTTTAAGGCCGGGGTGGCCTGGGAGATCTACTCTGCTCCCGAATAGGACTTTGGAGGTTGAACTTGAAGTAGAATTCTGGACCTTTCTCTTACTTGTTGAGATGTTGTGGTTCGCTCGGCCCCCGCTGGTGCATTTTGCCAGCCTGTTACTTCCCCACCATCTGGGCTACTAACATCTTCTCCAGCTAGTCAGGAGGAAGCTCCCCGAGGCCCAGATGTTGAGGCCGTTTCCCCAGCAGGCTCAACCGTTCCACAACCTGCTGTGATATGGTGACGGGAGGTTTTGTTTGGCAAGAGGGGATGCTAAGATAGGGCTGAGAATTTGCACCCCCAGAAGCTGTAGAGTGTCTCCGTTCCTTTGGTAGATAGCACCCACCAACCTCCCCCCCCCAATATAAAAACTGAATCCTACTCATCTCTGGACACTGCAAAGCGTGTTTTGAGAGCCCCGTTTTCAGGTGGTCTCATGGAGAAGACAGCTTGCTAGAAATGGACCAGGCCGGGAGTGTAGCTTTGTTGTGCTTCTCCTTTTTTCTCATTCCATCACAAATTCCAAAGTCCAAAAGTGAGGAAGCTCCTTGTAAGACAGAAAAAAAACTCTTTTGGTCTCTCAAGGAAGGGGCTTAGAGAGACCCCCTGGTCTATTTTTGAATCTTGGCTTCAGGATAGGAGAACTCGATTTATTCTTGTTTAATCCGCAGTTCTCCAAATTCCCCCCTCCCCCTGAAATCCAGATTCCTCGAGAGGAGGCCCATCGCAGTTCATTCTTGCTCTCTTGGGCGTCCGAAAACGAATCTTCTTCCAGGTGGCCTTCTATCCTTCTTACGTCCCATCCAAGTTTATTCATTTCTTCTGACGGACCCCGGGGCCCGGTCAGTTTCATGCATGACTTGGCATCCTTTTCCTGAGGTCTTTGCGTCAGATGTGGGGTTGTCAAAAGGAAGATGGAGAATTTTGCCTGGGTCTCTCTTGAATTCCACGCTGCAGGGGACATCGGTGGAGCAGAAGGGGGTCCTATTTGGTGAGGTTAGACCTTCTTGTCCATTAATCTAGACTTTATTCCGCTCTTAGCTGCAAAGTGTGTTGAGGGCCACACCATTTCTTTGACCCAACTCTCTGCCTGTGGTTTCCCAGTTGTTCTGGACTTTATTCCCCTCTTGTGTGTTAGCTGCAAAGAGTGTTATCTCTTTGACCCAACTCGGGGCCGAGCCCACTGCCTGTGGTTTCCCAGTGGTTGGCCTGCCATTCTAGCATCCTCCCAACGGGCTGCACATCTGGCCAGACCCAAAATGCAAAGCTAAAAAGCGCCAGCGTTGTCTACCTCTGCCAGGTTCAGCCCTGCAGCTTCCAACTGGCCTGGAGAGGACACTCTGCCTATGCTCAAGGCACGCTGGCTCTCCAGCTGCTATGATTCCATGGGGGAGCAGCCACTCCTCGGCCACAGAGGCCTTTAGCTGTCTCCTAACTGCCGTTTCCCCTCCAGGGGAGGCAGGAAATGCTTCCTCCAAGAACAGCTGCCAGAGGAAGACAATGCAGGGTGGGAGTGCCCCCTCCTCACGGCACAGGCGCCTTCTTCACCTGGATGGGGAAAAGGCACTTGGGATTGTCGGTGTGTGTGTGTCTGTGTGTGTGTGTGTGAGTAAATATAGGGAATACACACTCCCACCACCAGAAGCTGCTTCTCTCCCTGCAGGGCAAGTTCACTTCCTTGCAAGGAAAGCTCCAGCAACCCAGCTTGCACCTTGAGAGCTAGATTTCCAAGTGCCCAGATTTTAAGACCCCTCTCTTCCATGGTCGTGGGATGCAGTGGCTATCTATTAANAAGGGACCTTGGAGGTCTTCTAGTCCAGCCCCTTGCTCAAGCCAGAGAACCTATGCCATTTCAGGAAGGAAGGAAGGAAGGAAGGAAGGAAGGAAGGAAGGAAGGAAGGAAAAAGTTGTAAGGAACCTTGGAGGTCTTCTAGTCCAGCCCCCTGCTCAAGCAGGCGATCTTCACGGATCTGTTTCGGGAGAAGTGGGGGTGGGGAAAGCCGGACAGGCGACAGAGAGGCCTGCGCGAAGACGCTGGCGGAATCCACTAGTCGGGGCGAGGAATCCACGTCTGTCGGAGCCCCCCACCCAAAGGTAGCGGAGACCGTGAGAACAACCCTGGGTGGGTAGCAGGCAGGAGACGCGGAGGAGCCCCGACAGGCAGCTACCACGGGCGGCAACTGGGGAAACCCGGGCAGCGAGAGCCTCGTAGGGACTATTGCCAAACGGCCGCGTTCCGTAGCGCTGTCCCCGTTTCACCGCGGCCTTTGCCTCCTCTCCATCCTTTGGATGCCACTAGACGTCGGGGCGGGCGGGATGGGGGGCTTCTCCGCTTATATTCCCCCCCGCGCGGGTGGAGAAGGAGGAGTGATGAGGCCGAGCGGGTGAGGGTTTCTGCCCTCAAAGCCCCCTAGACGTCGGGCGGGGGAAATAGGGGGGGTCTCCACTCATATGCCCCCCCCCGCGCTGGTGGTGGTAATGCCGAGTGGGTGAGGGTCTCCGCCGTCCTCAAAGCCCCCTAGACGTGGGGGAGAAAATGAGGGGCGGGGGCTTCTCTCATGTCCCCCGCGCGTGGGGGGAAGGGGGAAGGTGGTGGTGGTAGTGCCAGGCGGGTAAAGGTCTCTGCACCCCTCGAAGCCCCCCACCCCACTCCAACGCCTGTCCGGTGCTCGCTTCCTTTGCAGCCGTGCGCGCCGACCGTATGCGCGGGGGCAGGAATAAATTCGGCCCGATGTACAAGCGAGACCGGGCGCTGAAGCAGCAGAAGAAGGCGCTGTTCCGGGCCAACGGCTTCAAGCTGGAGACCGTCCCGCCGCCGGGTGGCCCTCCTCCTCCTCCTCCTCCGCCGCCGCCGCCCCCCATCGTCTCCCCGGTGCAGGCGGCGGACTACGGGGGGCTGCCCCCTTCCTTGCACGGCCTGGCTCACCACCAGCACCCGGGCGGCCTTGGCAAGGCTCTGCCGCCCCCCAGCGCCGCTGCCATGACGCCCATCGACTACGAGCGCAGCCCCTACGGGACCCCCGGCCTAGCAGCCCCCGGCCCGGTGGGTCCCGGGCCCCTCTCGGGCTACCACTACCCGCCTTTCGCCAGCCGGGCCATCAAGTCGGAATTCCCGGAGCCTTACGCCGCCCACCCGTACGAGGCAGCCCCGGCGTACCCTTTCCCGGAGCCTTACCCGGGCGTCCTCGGGGGCGGCGGGTCCCCGGCGGCGGGGCTGGACGTGCCCGAGGTGATCCTGAAGCTGCTGCAGTTGGAGCCCGAGGAGCCGCAGCTGAAGACCCGCATCCTGAACTGCCTCCAGCAGGAGCAGCAGCAGAGCAAGAGCCGGCAGGAGAAGCTGACCACCTTCGGGCTCCTTTGCAAGATGGCAGACCAGACCCTCTTCGCCATAGTGGAGTGGGCGCGCAGTTGCATCTTCTTCAAGGAACTGGAGGTGAGACCCCCGGCGGGAAAGTGGGTGGGGGGAGACCCTCTCCTCCCCCAAAGCAGCCCTGCTGGAGGGAAATTTCCCCATGTGTTCTGCAGCCCATCGTCCACAACCACGCTGACTGGGGAGCATGGGGCTTCCTGGGCAGAGCCCTGGGTTCGTGCCAGGGCTGGGAAGTTGAACTGGGACGGTTGAACTGGGACCATTAATGACACAGCTCAGTTTTCTTTCTAAAGCACTCTGAAGACACCCCCCCCAGCTGTCTCAGACTGGGAAGCCCATCGCCCACAGCCTCACTGACTTGTGGGGGCATGGGGCTTCATAGGCAGGGCCCTGGGTTCATTCCAGTGCTGGGTGGTTGAACTGGGACGTTTGACTGGGACTTTTAATGACACAGCTCAGTTTTCTTTCTAAAGCACCAAAAGACGGTTTTTTTCCCCAGCAGTCTCAGGCCGGGAACCCCATCGTCCACAGCCGCACTGACGGGGGGGGGGCATGAGACTTCCTGGGCAGAGCCTTGGGTTCGTGCCAGTGCTGGGAAGTTGAACTGGGACGGTTGAACTGGGACCATTAATGACACAGCTCAGTTTTCTTTCTAAAGCACTCTGAAGACATCCCCCCCCCCTTGTCTCAGACTGGGAAGCCCATCGTCCACAGCCTCACTGACTGGGGGTGCATGAGGCTTCCTGGGGAGAGCCCTTGATCCTTGCCAGTGCTGGCAGGTTGAACTGGGATGGTTAAACTGGGACCATTACCGACCCAACTCAGTTTTCTTTTTAAAGCACCAGAAGACATTTCCCCCCTGGCATTTCCTGGCTGTCTGAGACCGGGAAGCCCATCATCCACAGCCTCACTGACTGGGGAGCATGGGGCTTCCTGGAGAGAGCTGTTGGTTCGGGCCAGTGCTGGGAGGTTGAACTGGGACCATTACTGGGTTTACTTCCCAAGGCAGCCTCAGGAGACGACATCTGGGGGGTACCAGGTTGCCCCTTTCCTCCCCGTGCCTCAGTTTCCCTCTGGGTGGAAGGGAAAGTTGGTGCCCTTTGTGTGATCAGCTGGTTTATATAATATATATGGCCATCAACCCTTGAGGCATAATTGATGGGGGAGCTGCAGTGTGTGTGTGTGTGTGTGTGACTCCAGCCTTGCGGACAGGGTCTCCCCAAGGAAGACAAACTCAAGGCCGGGGTCTCAGATCCAGCAGGCACCTCCAGATGTTGCCCCACACCTGGAGGAGGACAGCTGGAGATACTTGGCACTGGGTTCTCCTTGCTAGCTGCTTTTGTTGTAGAGGCAGGAAAAGGAAGCTGAACTCTGTGTGTGTGTGTGTGTTGTGTGTTGTGTGTATGAGTGGACAAGATTGTGCAGCTCCAGGATAGGCTGACAGATCCAAGGAGAGAGGTGTCAGCCGGCAAAATTATACTATAATTTCCTTCCTTCCTTCCTTCCTTCCTTCCTTCCTTCCTTCCTTCCTTCCTTCCTTCCTTCATCCCATTTCCATCTCCTTCCTTCCCTCCCCATTTTCTTTCTTTCTTTCTTTCTTTCTTTCTTTCTTTCTTTCTTTCTTTCTTTCTTTCTTTCTTTTTTCTTTCTTTCTTTCTTTCTTTCTTTCTTTCCCTTCTTTCCTACCTTCCTTCCTTCTTTCTCTCTTTTCTTTTTCTTCCCTTCTTATCTTTCCTTTCTTCCTTTCCTCTTCCTTTCCTGTTTTCATTTCACTTCTTTTCTTTCACCCTGTAATTTCCTGTTTAAAGCTATGAATGGGAAATTTAAAAACAAAAAAAAGCTTGTACACCATCTTATAAATCTACTGCTGGAATAATAATAATAATAATAATAATAAAACTTTTCCCGGCATTCGATATAGACTTTCTAGAGGGGCCATAAAACTCTTCTTCAAATGGGTTCCCACAAACTTGCTTTGCTCCTGAGATAAATTTGCTTGATTCCTGTTGGCAAGTGTTGAAATCCTTCCTTCCTTCCTTCCTTCCTTCCTTCCTTCCTTCCTTCCTTCCTTCCTTCCTTCCTT